TGAGCGGCTCAGCGAAGTCGAGACAGTTAAAGTCAGATGGAGTTTCTGTTGGTTGGCAGTGACATTTAATGTGAGGCTGGATATCCACACTGTAACAGGAACTGTGTGTGTGTGTGTGTGTGTGTGTGTGTGTGTGTGTGTGTGTGTGTGTGTGTGTTCCTCTGCTGTCATGTGGTTTAAATCAGCAGCTCCGGCTCTGCAGTGTAAAACACGAGCAGACGATCTTAAAGCTGCAGCTTCAAGAGACAGAAAACAAGAAAGATAAATTCCTTTATGTCCCAAATGTCCAATTCACACACAATCAACTGACACTGACATCACAACATTAATATATAATCAATATTTTAATCACTTTACAGATCTGATTATTGTAAAACAGCTTGTTTTGGTATTTACTCTTATTCAACAGTCTTCATCTGCTCACTCTTTTATTTTACTGTGTATTTTGTATTTTTGTACTTTCTTTACAGCTGCAGTGACAAATAAATTTTCTCCAGCGGTAAATAGATAAATGTAATAAATGTTAAGATCTTTCTTTTCGTCTGTGAGGTGTGACCCCTCACATGTCGTTGGTTTCCTGTTGGAGTGTGTGTCCTGAGCGTATTAATGTCGGCATCAGAAACCGTGGCGTGGCGTGAATGTCTGACTGAATCTCCGTGTTCGTCAGATCTGCTGGCGTCCCCTCACTCGGCTCCCGGAAACCTCGACAACAGCAAAAACGCCGAGAGTCGCATCAATGGAGGCAGCCGGGAAAACAGCGCGGTGGGCTTCACCAAGGTAACGACCTGTTTTTAACATAAACACAAACTTTCATGGAGGGTCACTGAACTATATGGTTGAAACAGAGGTCACATGTTTGATTCCTCATATTTACAAGCGTCAGGTAAAAACATGAAGCTGTGGAGGGAGCGGTCGTTTACAGCAGCCAACAGCTCTGAGCGTGAGTCATGACAACAGCCTGGTCTCTGGTCGAGGTCTCCTGCACCTGTGGATTCCACCGATGGGTCGGGGTCGGTCCGAGTCGTCTGTCACCGACAGAGTTTCTAGTCACAGGGTGGAAGTTCCAGAGAGGAAAGATTTAGATGTAAAGATTCTTCACCGCTCACATCGAGTCTGAAGCTGTAGCAGATGTTTTGTACCAGAACCAACAGTTTGTTTACTCCGTGTTTTATAAACTCTGAACCGTGTTGGTCAGTGTGAACCTGACGGAGACACTCAGAGGTTGTGTGTGTGTTCGGAGGGTGACTGGTTTGTTTTCCAGCAGGACTGCGACTGTGTGTGTCTGCTGCCAGCGGCCGCTAGACAACCTGCCGTAAGTCTGTTCACCTGTCAGTCACCGGCTGTCGACCAATCAGTGGCCTGTGTTGTCGTGTGTTAAACTGTGTGCGTCTGTGCTTTGACTCAGTTGTTGTTGTGTTGTTTAGTCTGATGTGTGTGTTCAATGTAGAAGATCGTCATCATCTTGATGTACAGTCAGTGATGTGGGCGGAGCCTTATATACTGCTGTGTGACAGTGTGAACAGCTGAGTGGGAGGAGCTTCTGCCCCCCACAGGCTGCAGAAGGAACTACAGGCTCAGTGTGAACGTGTCCTGGTCATGTGGTTCCTCTCATGTGTTTCAGGTCGACATGAATTTCATGAGGAAGATTCCTCCCGGAGCTGAGGCCTCTAACGTCTTAGTGGGCGAAGTCGACTTCCTGGAGCGGCCGATCATCGCCTTTGTTCGTCTGTCTCCTGCTGTGCTGCTGACGGGCCTCACCGAGGTCCCGGTACCCACGAGGTAAACAGCAGCTGGTTCTGAGCCGATGAACGTCCTCATCAAGGAGGCGGGGGTCAAAGGTCCAGAGCCGGTCCGGTGCTGGACTGATGATTGTGTTGTTTGTCTTCTGCTCAGGTTTCTCTTCCTGCTGCTCGGTCCGTTTGGAAAAGGTCCACAGTACCACGAGATCGGACGTTCCATCGCCACTCTGATGACGGACGAGGTAAGAAGACGAAAAAATAATCTGGACCAGGAGTTTGAAGACGTCACTTTGAGACTCAATCTCTTTCTCTCAAGATTTTCCACGATGTCGCCTACAAAGCGAAGGACAGGAACGACCTGCTGTCAGGCATCGACGAGTTCCTGGATCAGGTCACCGTGCTGCCGCCGGGTGAGTGGGACCCCAGTATCCGCATCGATCCCCCGAAGAGCGTCCCATCTCAGGTCAGACCCCCCCCCCCAGCAATATGCGTTGAATAATAAAGCAGCGGGTCTCTCCTGAGGTCACCTCCGTCTTCTGTCTCCGCAGGAGAAGAGGAAGATGCCGTTGCTTCCTAATGGCTCCGCCCACAGCTCTGACATGGTGAAGGAGGCGGAGCATGAAAGTGGACCAGAGCTGCAGAGGACGGGGAGGTTCGTCCACTTAACAGCTGATTGACAAAATCCTCATCAGATCATTTACATCAAAAACGTGCACAGAACGTTGAAATCTTCTCGTTATCTTGAATCCAACTCATTTCATGAATCTGAAATTAGAACTTCCTGCTTTTAACACGTAATCGATTTGTCATCGTCTGGTCATAGTCTCAGATTTTCTGTTTCATTTTGTTAATTTAATATTTCGTGAACAGTTGACCAGACAGAGTTCATTGATACGATTCGTTCTGATTCGTTCTGTTTGATTTTTTCACCTCAACCTGTTTTTAAGTCGTTGTTCCTCTCGTCAGGATTTTCGGTGGTTTGGTGAACGACGTTCGGAGGAAAGCTCCGTTCCTGTGGAGCGACATCAGAGACGCCTGCAGTCTGCAGTGTTTGGCGTCCGTCCTCTTCCTCTACTGCGCCTGCATGTCGCCCGTCATCACGTTTGGAGGTTTGCTGGGCGAAGCCACCAAAGGAAACATAGTAAGTAGCAGGATGTGGATATTTTCACAATAAAAGGAGGCTAATGTGAGAGTTTCATCTCCGCATTCAAAACCATTTTTAAAATGTCCTCATTAGAAACATGAATATACTCATTAAATATTCCACTTTAACCTTCACCAAAAAGATGAGTGATGTAATTATTAAACATCACAGTTATTCATTTATACATGAATACATTTCTGCCCTCTCTCTCTCTCTCCCTCTCTCTCTCTCTCTCTCTCTCTCTC